TTTTGTCTTCAGCAATTGCCGTTGCTTTAATTCATTTGTGCCTCCGTGGCTCCGTGTCTCATTAAAAAATATATGGTTCATAAAACGATTAAACACTATATAAGGTTTTGGACTACTCCTCCTATCAGGTTGACCTTTTAGTATGCAATCTCAGGTCTTAACATGGTATCAGAGACAATTCCGGTTGTGGTTTGACGGCTTGTTTAAGGGTTGGTTTGCAACCGCTTTTAAAAAAGCACTTCTCAGCTTTTGACTTTAAAAAACACTTATTTTTCCAAACACTACAACTTTTATTTTTCTCGGCTTCCGCGTCAAAAGTGCTTTTACTTTTTCTATTACACAAAAGCATTTATTTTACCAAACACTACCAAATTTTACTTTTCAAAATCACTTTTTTCTCAAACACTATCAACTTTTATTTAATCACTTCTCCTCATTTCATTAAAAAAAGCACTTTTTTAAAAGCAGAAGCTGTTGCAAACAGACCCTAATTAACACCCATGATTAAGGGTAGCTTCTAAAGGGTTTGTTTGGCCCGTTTATACATCTCGAAATTGTCCAGGGGGCGTGAAACATTTGTCCCACACCAGAAAGTTATAAAACAATTAAACATTATATAAGGCCAGGGCCGGCCCAGGGGGTGTGCAGGGTGTCCGACCGCACATGGCCCAAAAATATGGAAGGCCCAAAAAATTAAATTAGTAGTAGTATTACTACTAGTCTACTACTCCGTATAAGCTAGTCAGACCAATAACGAACAAAAAGGTGCGGGACGAGCATAGCAATCTGCGAAAGAGGAAGCGCATAGGCCAAAGGGCATAACGAGTGACTGAGCGAGACGAGCGACGTGCGGACGACTCTCCGTCTCCAGGCTCTGCTCCAGCCTCGAGCCATCCTGATTTCTAAGTTGCTGCGGCGATTCGGACACATCTAGGACGGAAGGACTCCACTATTATAGGTATATAAATTTGTAACTAATAGAGAGTATTGGTTGTTTATGAATTAATTTTGTAATCTGAGTTCAACAAAATGATATCAATAGGTTCTTAGGCTGTTAAATTTGTTTTTGTTTCACTACATAACTTTATACGTAAATAAGTTTTTTTCTTGGATTTATTACTGCTAGTTAATACTAGCAACTTCTATTTTGAAATAATTTTTTAATAAATTACAACTACTCCGTATTAACAATTTACCATTTCAATTGAAATAGCATTTCTATTAACGATAGAAAAGAAAGGCCTGATTTTTGTTGTTGCACAGGGCCCTCGTTTTCTCGGGACTGGCCCTGTATAAGGCTTTGAGCTACTTTTTAATCAGTTTGACCTTTTAGAATGGAACCCCAGATTTTAAAACGGTTCTCTTTTTCTTGCACGATACTTCACCACACAATACTATTATCTTAATTGTCGTGCTAATGGTACTACGTAGTAATATAATTTAGGTAGGGTGGATTATATTTTCTGACCTTAGTCCTCAAGTTAATACCAGTTTTGTGACGTATACACATGCGTCAGCCATGAGTCCCATGACTGTACAACGTACCTCCATTATCTCGCAGACTTTGTTGCAGATTCTTCCCCTATAATATAGGGAGTACTTCGTATAACGATCTATACGTAATTGAGTAATTCGATCCCGGCCTGAAACAATTCTCAGATCCCTTTGCCAAGCTCCTCTCCCAATTTCAGCCATGAAACAGCCGTACACATCGCCGTGGCCGGAGAATAACTCCGGTGACGCCTCGAGCGAAGGCTCGTGCGTTTCCAGCAGCGGCGACAACGATTACGCGCTGCTCGTGGCAGAGAATGCGATCATCATCTTCGGCAGGCGCGGCTGCTGCATGTGCTACGTCATACAGCGGCTGCTCTTAGGACTTGGCGCCAACCCTGCCATTTACGACGTCGATGAGGAGGACGAGGTCGTGGTCACCTGCCAGCTTTCCCGGATTATCACCTACTTTGGAGATTCCGCCGCCCAGTTGCCGTCGTTTCCGGCGGTGTTCATCGGCGGGAAGCTTTTTGGTGACTTGGACAGGGTTTTGGCGGCTCATATCGCCGGCGATCTGGTGCCTCTGCTTAGACAAGCGGGTGCCCTATGGCTTTGATTTGACCGGGAGTCTCACCCTATGTCTTTGATCAGTTCTTCCTTAAATGTGTAAAGGTTTGTTTTAATGAAAGAATTTCTTACTAAAACGTGACAAAAAACCAGATGTAGATGTAGTAATTTGAATATTTTCAAAATCAAAGTTTTTAATGCATTTGATGACAAAAATACCCTTATAGATGCCAAGCTCATGTTGCCCATTGCCGCCTGCCACCACCGACCTTCAGCAGCATCTGGCCGCAGAAGCTCCGCGCGCCGGATGACGCTGCCAACATCCAAATTTGCGCTGTTGATCTCTAGTTGTCGGAGCTCTTAGCGCGCACTGTCTAGAATTTTTTCCAAGTCCGCCTGCCACCGCTGCCGATCACCGGAACTCTGCCATTGGGTGTCGAGGCCGTCTCCAACACTGCTGGATTACCCCGCCACCAACGGACTGACTCGGTTTTCCAAATAAATGAGGGCACAATTAATTAATGCTTGATCCTATTTAGAAAAGATTAGGAATGGACTCTTTGGGGAAACCTATTAATTTTGCTCCTATCTAGGTGAATTACTTTTTTTTGGTTTGTTATTCCATAAATAACAAGTCTCCATGTCATTGTATAAGTCAACTTTTATTTAAGTTTCCTATATCCTTTGATGATTTAATTTTCACTCAAATCATATGTTTGTGGCGGTGAAAATTTGGTATGTTTGTGGGAGCGGCGGAGCTCCTATGAACTGTGGTAGCATAGTGGCAATGTATGTCTAAATCCGAGATTTCAAAATAGAATTGTAATGTTTTTATTACATAAATAAGAATAATTATTAGTTAATTCTAAAAGTATTGTCATGTTAAAGAGTTGTAATGTAAAATCATGGAAGTAATTAGTCTTGGTTAGAAAATAAAAATATGATAGTCTTGCTTTTGAATTCAAAAACGTTTTCCTCATGTTTAAGACACAACACATTAGCTTGCTTGGTTGGATTAAAGAAGAAACAAAAAAGTGTATCTCAGATCGAGTACATACACCTTGCGTAATTTAAAAGGTATGACGACTTTTGATAATTAAGGCTCAGTTCCAGATCGATCGGATGGAAATCTGAGTACCTGACATTTTGTTAGGTTACTGATTACTTCTATACTCAAAAAAAAAAAAAAATTAAGACTATGTACGATACTACTTAGCTTATTTCAAAACATAATTATAAAGGGTACTTCAATTGATCCAAAATGTGGAATCTCCAACCCCCAAAGCCCCCACACCCCGACCCGACAAGGCAGATGGGAGGATGCATGTAAATCACGGTGACTCAATCGGCGGAGCAGCAGTATGTCCATATACCCGTGCGCATCAGAGGTCCGGCACATTTCAGAGGCTGTGGCCTCCACACGATCGCTGCAGGGACTCGAACCATGGTCATTGATCCAAATTCTCACCACTCAACCAACTGAGCTACCCGTGCGAATATAAAGGGTACTTCAATATCAGTATGAAATGAAGTAAAACTATGTTTAAAAAGTCATAATAAAAGAAGTACAAAGTAAAATTTATATATAATGACTCAAGTTGCATTTAGATAAAAGTAGTAACACAATTTACCATAAAAAAGTACAAAATCAATAATAAGATCAGAGGTAAACTATTAATTTCAACTTCTAAGAGCCACAGATTCATTCCACGAAGTATTTCCAATTGAAACTATATTTCATATTTCTCTTATGTCTTTTGGCCCTTTTTCCATTATTATACTCCTATTGGTTTGTTCCCGAAATATTTAACAATAAAAGAAAATGAGTGCGCATAAAAAGCATAAACATTCATTTTCATTCTATAAAAAATGAATTTTCTACTTTTCTTTCAAAGATGCTAGAATTTAACCAATAATATATGAAATAATTTTTAATATATATTCGAAATAAAAATAATAGACAAAAACGAGAACCTTAAAATAGCGACCGTAATTGTATTCAAATATTATATTGTAATGAATATATAAAACATACTCATAAACCTCTTTTAAAAAATTAAAATTGTTGTCGAATTTCTATTATCATTAATTAAGAAAAGTCAATATAATAAACTTTTTCGAACCGAGTTAGATTATAAAAGTGAAAAAATTATAATTGTCACTAAGAGCCCGTTTGGAGAACTCTGTTTTCGGCTTATCAGGCTTATCAGCCAGCTTTTTCATCAAACACGTAACTTTTACTTTCACGCGCTGAATTGTGTAATAAGCCGAAAAAGTAAGGTTGGAGTTACTTTTCTGGCTGTATTGGCTGAAGTTACTGTAGAGGACCATTTTAGCTATTTTTACATATAATTTTTTCTTTAATTTATTAATAAAATATATTTTTAAAATATTTTTTTCTTAAATCAGCAGAATCAGCCAAAACAGCCACTCCAGCCAGAATATCATAAATTTCAGCAGAATCAGCCAAAACAGCCGATTTTGGTGCTACCAAACGGGCTCTAAATATACTCCATAAAAGTTTTACTTTTCTAGCCCTAATTATTTCTAGTCAGCTGACAAATAAATGGTACGTGCACGGTGCACTTTCCTCTCAAAAAAAATTACTCCATAAAAGTTAAAACTATTAACCAAAATTATTAACTAGAGCACCCTATTGCCAACCCCTAAACCCGGCCCTACTTGACACTGGTACGGCCAAACATCCTATCTCAAAGCTTGTGAAATGACCTGTTAAATAAGATGTCGTGATAATGTTTTTTATTTGTCCTAATAATTTGTTTTGCTTTTATGTATCTGGGCCTGAAGATAGCAATGGCGTGACATATACCCTTACGTCAGCCCCATAACTGTACAGCCTCCCTTGTCGCGCGAACTAGTCCACCGTCCAGTCCCCACCAGAAAATATAACGATATAAACGAACGCCACTCGATAGGTACACATCGACGCCATCTATGAATAACTCCGGCGCCACCTTGAGCGACGGCTCAGCCCATTCCACCACCGGCGGCAACAGCGATTACGCCCTCCTGGTGTCGGAAAATGCGATCGTCATATTCGGGAGGAGCGGCTGCTGCATGCGCTACGTCGTGCAGAGTTTGCTCTTAGGGCTCGGCGTTAACCCCACTATTTTCGATGTTGAAGAAGAGAAAGAGGTCGCCGTCACCCACCAGCTTTCCCAGATTATCAGCTCCACTGAAGATCAGGGCGCTCAGCTGCCGCCGTTCCCGGCAATTTTCATCGGCGGGAAGCTCTTTGGTGGCTTGGATAAGGTTATGGAGTCTCATATCTCCGGCGATTTGGTGCCTCTCCTTAGAAAAGCGGGTGCCCTTTGGGTTTGACTCACACTTTATGTTTTTATTTTTCCTGCCTCCCTTTACATGTGTCCATTCAAATTGAATGATGTTAAACTTTTATCAATATATTCTTTTCCTCCCTTAAAACTTTGACATGTTTAACATGCATCAAGATTCACTACAAGAAAAGCTACCTTTAACTACGAAAATTAGTGACGGGTAGATAATCCTCTCATTAATAATACGATTTGTAGAGTTTTTGTGAGAGGAAAAATCCTCTAATTAAAATAGTGAGGAAGTTTAAGTATTACCCTCGTTATTGATACTTAAAAATTTCGAACCCCTCACTATATATGCCATTTGACAATCAGCGCCCAAATTTTAAGAGCGGCAAACAAAAATTATCCTCCCGCTGAACAAAAAGTATACTGAGTATTTGCTAAAGATTAAAAACCCTAGCCTCTTCAGAAAACTCTTATACCGACCGACGAAGCCTCCCTCGTACATCTCCCTCTGTGCGCTTCGTCTCTCGCTCCATCAATGTGCTCGGTCGCTCTCTCTCGTCTATGGCCATCGCCGACTTGGGCTAGGTAAACATTCATCATCAATCACTGCCAAACTAATTAAATCAAACAAAACCGCGCTTAGGCGCGTACGCCCAGGCGAGCGACGATTAGCTCCGGCCTTTTCTCTTCGCTTTTCCTGTGAGTGATTAAACGCAATAGCGCTCTCTTTCTAGCATTACTCACAAAAGTGACCTTTGAAAGATTAATCCGTACTATTTTGAGGATTTTGAAGTTTCAATCTACCTATGGTTCATGTTAGATCTCTCCAGAGTCACACATGTCACCATGAACCTGTGCTTGGCCTTCTTGATTAATTCACACTACTTTTTTCCTTTTTAATTTTATAACGTTAATCCCCTATTTCTAGAAAACTTCTAACAATTAACCACTTCAGGTATGTAATGAATACGCAGCAAAAAATAAGAATAGGCAGCAAAAAATAAGTAATGGGTAAGCTAATGTCGAATAGGAACTTAAGGAAGTGAATATTCTTTGATGATTATGGAGACATTGTTATATAAATTTGTAGAACAAATTATACGTGCTCATTTATCAAACACTAGGGTGATGTTTAGTGGGTATTGGGCAGCAAACGAAGTTTGCATTTGTAAATTTCCAACAGACTAAGAAGCTGATTTTGATATACTTGGAATTTAAGAGTCATGATATAGCCTGTAATCCATGACCGTGAAGATTTTATTGGCCTATAAGCCTATTATACTAAAACTTAAAGCAAAATCAGAGATGCAAGGAGTAATATATTGTATATTGATATGATGGTATCATATTTTTTGTTATAGTAGGTATAAAATATGCTATAGAATTAATGATATATAAAAATTTATCATGTCTTTATAACATTGTTCATTAAGTTCATTAAGTTTCCATGATTCATCCTGTCTTTATAACATTGTTCATTAAGTTCTTAGAGTTTGGTCATTCTATCACTTTCAGGTATGAATCGTTACTTCTGCTTTGATTATATGGAAAGGGCTAATGTGCATAACTGGCAATGAATTACCAGTGGTGGTTGTTCTCTCCGTAAGTATGGAACCTGCCTTCAAAAGGGTGAGCTAGAAAATGGTTATGGCAGTTTTTTCCTCACTGGATGGTGATACATTGAGTGGGCTGTAGTGTCTACATACTCATTTTCCATAATACATTTATATTTGGTGCTTCATATGTGGACATCCATGTTCTTTTTTATGAGTAATTGAACAGTGATATAAATAATTCATTTCTATCTTACAGGGTGACATATTGTTCTTGCGTATGAGTGTATGACGGTTTCTTATGATGTGAGCATTTCTTATGAATACTATGTCTTCTATTAAGTTCATTTCAGAGATGTATTTCACGGTTTCACCATTGCCTAGATTCACTTTAAACATTGACAAAAATAAGTCATTCCTAGAGTTGGTTCATTGGGTGATATGTAGTACATTTATCCCTCTCTGAATGGACTCTCTTTTCTTTCTAAAGTTCATATAAAAACCCATAAAGTGGAAAATCCAACTATTGCTTAAAGTTTCTAAAAATTATAATCCCTTAATAATTGGGCATTTGGCTGATTGGTATTGATTTGGAGGTCAAATAATATTAAGGATTACATCTGTATGATCAATCTCTCATGTAGTTTATATTTGGAAGTTCTCAAACTCATGCTATTTGCCTATTTGTCACTCTATGAAGTACACATTTTTTGTTATTGTCTCGGGGCTATTTATGCATTATAGCATGTGTTGATAAATTTTAGTAACTACTCTATATAAGCATTAAACATGATCTTCATTACTTCTTTGTGCTGCACAGGGTCATGGAATTCCAGTCGTCCACAGAGTGATAAAGGCAAGTATTTGGAGTACTATCCTTTCAAGTAGTTCTTCCTAATGCCTTTACTTCTATGGAAATAACTTATAACAAATAAACATGCATCATCATTGATCATGTAATTAACAAAGCAGTGTAGTAAAAAGCACTCGCCTGAGTGCTTAAGCCCGTAAAGCGCCCTAGGCGAGGCGCTTACCATGGGTAGCGCCTAAATAATCTCCGGGCACAGTGATATGCCTACCATGGGTAGCACCTAAATAATCTCAGGTAACAATGATATGCCTCGGGCGTAGATAAATCACAAGTGCAGAGGCGCAGAGCACACCTGTTGTGCCTAGGGCCTATTCACAGCGCCCAGCTCTGCTCCGCCCCGCTATGCCTCTATAGTGCCGCTATATATTGACATCACTGGTTTGAGTGCACATTTTCAGGTATGTTATGATGATTTTAAGTATTCAAAATGTATTGATTTTTTGCATAAAACTTGCATAAAAGACAGTTGGTTCAATTTTGCACAATTTTTATTGCAGCCTTTTTTTTCTTTAAAGTACTCTGTAAATAATTCAGTCAAAAAATTAAAATTGAAATGGTTATACCTTTATATTATTAGATTAGATGTATGCGTTTGGGTCATTAGAGGTTCTGGTCAATGCTACTCATTTGTATTGGTGTATATTTAATTAATTCCAGAAGATTTCAAGTATTAAAAAACAGAGCATGACATTTATGTTTATTCATTGAGTTAGAAATGTATTAAGTTGATTGGATAACTTCTTCATTATTTATGCCGGTGTATAATGCAGGGACTTGGTAGCATAGATATGAAGTTGACATTTGAATTAGAAGAGGCCAATCTGATTAGAAGCGGGAACTACTCTATTATGAAAGCTGGTGGAATACGTGGTGAAGGATTAAAGACTATTTGATACTCACTTGTGTATTAGTTTTTTGTTAGTGTTTATTTTGAGATCGATACTTTTCACTTTGTTAGTTTTGCCTATTCACTGGAAACTACTTAAATTAGGGGTGTATGGCAAATGTACACATTGAATGTTGTTTCATACTGTTGGTTTAGTATGTAACATCATTGTTGGAAATATATATAATGGCAAATGGTTCAAGCATATAATTGTGTGTGTATGACACTATGACGGTACTTCCTATCATTAAAACATTATAATCACAAAGTTTATTTTATTAGTGGCTGGTTGTATTAATGACGGGATATTTTGTCATAAAACTAACCTTTTAATGAGGGTGAATAGACTCTCATTGTATACTTATTAATGACGGGATTGTATACCCGTCATTATTAACTTTTAACCGCGGAAGCAGTAGTGACGGAGGGTGACAGGAGATTTCCCGTCATTAAAAGTCTTCTATGACAGGTTTCTGTCTTTTAACTACGGTATCTCCCGTCACAAATGAGTCATTTTCTTGTAGTGATTAATAAATAATACAATAAAAAATTATGTGGTTGGAGTTTGTGGAAAGGAGGGAGAATTCACTGGAATCACAATTTAGTTATTTAAAAGGAAAGTGACAAAGTTAGTCGGACAAACAAAAAAAAGACATATTCCTCTTTGATAATACCAAAATTTTAATTGAAATTTCCATCAATATGGCATTACAAATTAAATGCACCTTGGCATTTTTCCCAGAATCCCAGTGGTGGTGCGCGCTGGGATAGCAGAGGTGGCGGTGCATTTTTTATGATTTTTACTTATTTTTAATTTTCCCCTAATTTTCATTATCCAAATTTATCATCATTGTCACCTGAGTTTTTGAGGTGACGGTGCACCTTGGCATCCTTTTCACCTTTGTAGTGAGGAAGAAGAAATTAAACTCTCTGCCACCTGAGTTAGTTTAGTTGAGGACAAGAGGTTTATAACTTAAGAGTCGGCTCTTGTAGCTCTCTTTGGCTAGGTGATTCCTTATCACAGGTCGCAGATGGAGATGGTGCGGTTTTAGGAAGCTTTAAAGTAGGGTCACAGGTAACTTGGGTTGATCCATTTTCATTGCTACCGCCATCCCTAAAAAATTCAATTGAAGGAATATGCTGTAATTGTAATTTAAATAAAATATGGGTCTTACAAAATTTAATAAACATGTAAAGTTTGACCACCGTCAATATAAACGGCAAAAAGTAACAGAAGGACCAAATTAAAATCCATTAAATAGAATAAGGATTAAAATGATAGATTTATTAGTTCAAAAATTAAAACGATATGGTGATGATAGTTTAAGGACCAATTATGCATTTTACTCTAAATAAAATTTACATATTCTAAAACTACATTAAAACTACTACAAAGCCTGATAAAAAAATGTAAATTTAATAAAAATTTGATACTCCCTCCGTTCTTTTTATTAGTCCTTCTTTTCTTTTTGGGACGTTTTTTTTTTATTTGTCTCCTTTCTCTTTAAGAAAAGTTTTTGAGAAAATACCCTCATTTTTATTACCTTTACCCCACTTACTTTTTACAAACTACTTTCTCTTTCCTACTTTACCATCACTTTATTCATCTTAATACACTCGCTTTCCTACTTTATCATCATTTTACTCTTTTTAATATATCATCTTTCCTACTTTATCATTTACCCTACACACTCTATACTTACCCTACTACTTTATTATTAAATCTCGTGCCAAACCCTAACGGCCTGTTTGGATTAAGTGTTGAGGGGTGTTAGTAATGGAAGTGTTAAGGGGTGTTGGTTTTAACACTTGTTTGGGAGATTTTTTTTTTAAAAACTGGAGTGTTAGTAAGTGTTTAAAGGTGTTAGGGGAAA